CTGCTATGAAACGCACTTACACAACCGCCCAGTTGCGACTCGTCTACACCACTCGGAGGCTAGTGTTACACCACCATCCGGGCGAGTTATCGAGAACAGTCTGGTCTCTCACGTAATATACCAGTTCACCTGCTGTTGTGGTGACGTATACATTGGCAGGACTGACCGGCGGCTGGCCCAAAGGGTGGCCGAACACCTCCCAAGCTGGTTAAGGCAGTCCGATGTCACAACAAGACAGGGTGGATCAGGCGATAAAGCAGAACCCTACTTCATCTATCGCAAAGCAGCTAGTGACGACTGGTCGTCACGGGGACATATCGGTCGCTTTCAAGCTATTCATGCGGGATAAGAATCCAAAACGGTTGGCTATAGGCGAGGCACTGTTGATCACACAGAATCGTCCAGCCCTGTGCGCAAAGAAATAATTGAGGCTTAGCGTTGATTCTTTCGTTGCATCTTGTTCATGAAGGTTAGTTTCACGTATACTTATTCGTTTACATTTGGCATGTATTATGTTTGCGACTGAGGTGAATAGACGAAATTTCGTGCAGAATGCCCATTTGGTTGTCGAACCCGAGAAGAAACGTAAGTAGAACGCATAAGGCGAACAACTGTTTTGGACATTTTACTCATCAGGGCTAGTGCAGAAATATACTTATGATCAATCAAGTTTGTAGGACAGTATACAGACACACTAATGATTAGAGAAAATTAAACTTATACACTCCTCGTGATGTGTGACGGCAAATTCATCTCGTGTGGTCGACGGCCATGGAAGTTGTAATGCTTGAACGAGCTTCTTTTGGATGCAGAGATTAGATTTCATCAGTCTTATGCTTACTGCTTTATCAGTAGCAAGCAGTCGTGCTGCTAAATGACGGGTAAACTGTGACAGTATCTTGTACAGGGTTTCGAAGGCATTACTTTTGTCAGAGTTGTGCTCAGTGGCAATCAGATGGTTAGTAACTGCACTTGGATAAGATCTGTCGCTGCGGTTGGTGAGTGAATTCGGCAGGTGCTCCTTGACTCGATTTTCTAAGTCCCTGGTCGTGCGTCCAATATACCTAGCTCCACAGGAGCAGGTGAATTGGTATATTACATTTGATTGGAGGCGACCAGGCACTTTGTCTTTAACTCTAGGGACAACCAAGGATTGCCACTGGGCACAACACTGACAAAAGTAATACCTTCGAAATCCTGTATAGGGTACCGTTATACTTGACCTGTCAGTTAGCAGCATGACTGCATGCTACTGCTAAAGCAGTAAGCATAAGTCTGTTGAAGCCGAATCTCTGCATCCAAAAGCTCATTCAAGCATTACAACTTCCATGGTCAACCACGAGATGAAATTGCTGCCGCCAATCAATCCCACGTGCCACCAATCATCCGACGTTTATCACGAGGACTAAGTTTCATTTTATGTAATCAATTGTGTGCTACTATATTGTCCCATAAACCATAAGCATACTTCTGTGCTAGGATTGATAAAGAAGAAATCGAAAACAATCGAAATGTTAACGTCCGCAACATTTGTCTTCTCTTTGCAATAATGCCAGTACCTTGTGGCGCAGTATGCAAACTTAAGTACCCCATCGAGCAGCTCACAAGATTAGTGGCAAGTTCCGCTATTTGATTCGATCAAACGAAACAAACAACAGACATGAAGCTCATTCTGAAGTCGAATATCAGCCGCCAAGCAGTGCAATCGTGAAGGCCGAAGATGATTCCCAGCGTGCATAGAACACAAATTTTCAACGGCCGGTGTCAGAGTAAGTATCTTGCTCGGGTTTTAGCCAAACCGTTCGTCCCGACCGGCCACCAACATCATTGGCTGTATTTAGGTGGTCAACACAAATGCAATAAGTGACATCGTCATTCGACAGTCTTTGTTTCTTTATATTCTCTTGTTTGAAATGTTAGTTGGCTGAGGTGAAATGAGCCACCAATCGGAGTAGCCATTAAAAACATGAAGGCTAGCACCTGATGTTCTACCACGGCTGCCTGCACTTGATCAACAAAACACTGATGCTACAACACGTGAAAACCGATGACTGTGTGAAAGATGACCGGAAGCCTAGCGTGAAAACTAAGTCAATACGTCTACGTAAGGTAGAAATCTGTTCCAACAGGAGCGTTGCAGCATGGGAGCTAAGGTTGCAATCGAACCAATACGTTCAAGTGCAAATGCATCCCAGCAGTAACACGTTTGGTGGAAACGGTCCCATAAGAAAGCCACAATGCAGCAGAGGTGGGGCGGTAATAAAGGTTGTGAACTAACTGGTGAGAGCCAGTTTTGTAAACTGACGCAATATGACGGAGGAACTACAAGTTGCATGTGGCGCGCAGGAGGAATTGGAATCCATAAGCATCTTGAGTCAATTGGAGCCGGTGGAAGGGCGTAAACAGAAGCTGATCAAGATCATTTATCAGTCACCCGGTAGTCGTTCGAAGTACGTCAGTAGGCAATTAGATGAATAAGAATTGTGAACTTAGAAAGGGAGCTCAGACTGTTGATCCGGTCACATTGTGAGGTTTAGGCTACAGAAACAGTAGCTCGGACACAATCGACGGTGATTACCGTTCCCATTAAAAACTGAGTACATATAGATGCACAAGCTCGAAAAGAATCACCACACACGAAAGTATAATGTGACTATTAGTTTCCCAATTGGAATTTTCATTACCGAAAATAATGTACACTTGAAATCGAGGAAGGCAACGTGGTCGGTCTCAGTGTGTGAAACTTTGCTTCAGTAAAAAGCGTCACTTGAATTTCACTCCGTCCCGATCAACGCTGGCTGACCGCGAAATACACCATTAACTTTGACAGTACCACTGTCACGCTTACACTGATTGTCGCGAAGCTAGCCGGTCGGTGGCCTGTCTTCCAACCCTGAGGTCGCGGGTTCGAGCCTGCGTAGGCGACCAGGAGACCCTCGAGGTATCTTTAGCCCACGCGCGACTGGTGATAGATGCAAGGCAACAAAGCGTCGGTACTGCGTACCAGCGAACTGCTGAACCCTTGAATATTGCCACCACATCCAGTTAACTAAGTGTTTGGGGCTATCTCCTCACTCTATAAGCATTCTGGTATATTGCATAGTCTATCGCTAACGCCGTCATCACCATCATTAAATAGGAAGGACACGAGAATCCGCTGACAGTCGGAGCGGAAACGGTTGATAGATGAGACCGAGTTTATCTTAAGCTTCGCGTGGAGCCTCTAAGTTGGCAGGCTATAGTACAATTTCCGTCAACTGAACGTGAAGTGAATTAGTAAGAGGATGGCGAGTGAGGTGCGCCTGAAGGTGCACAGCCCAACATGCGATTGCGTGCTTCACACTATAAACGAGAAAATGGGTGTTGTCACAGTTCGAATCACCGATATGTAATTCATTGAGACCACTTGGGCGGATTAGCAAAAATAGTGTGCCCTAGTTATCCATCACGCTCGTTTCCTTCGTATTTCGAGGCCACGAAAAACCAAGCTTATATACCTTCTCGTAGGCTCCGTTTGACCTTCTGCTAGATAGTCCACCTGACCCCAACTTTATGGCTGCCATCACACTTGTTTTTTTAGTTTCAAGCAGATAGCCGAAGTTCGGATGTCCAGCGTCCGGGCACTGACGAGTATTTCCGTGACAAACATAAGCCCATACATCGTGCATGGTATAACAGACCTTATTCTATTGATACCCATGGTTCCCCGAGTCAATGGTTTTTGTCACGGGGGTTGGGAACAGGTTCTCGATTTCAAGTAAAAGCAATGGCTTGCTGCGTTCCCTCTCAAAGCTCGGGAGAGGAAGCAGGCCAAGACGTGATCCGAACCGATGCACTTACGACAAAAAGTATGACAGCTAAGCAAGGAGCTATTTCGGTCCATCACTAGACAGCTACTGTACGGCATCAAGTGGCGTGTCGGTGCTCATTAGGTCTGAAGATGATGGAACCTAGAAACATACACACAGATGGAGGAAACACACGTCAATGTTCGTGTGCTCGAAATAAAACCTGAGCATTCATTTGACTAAGTTTCTGAGAAGCTTAGAAAGCCCACATGCGCATCCAGAACCTACAGAAATGAAAACATCTGTCAAGGTGGTTAGCTCACAGATATCGTCCATGCCCATTTCATAAATGTACCCTGACTGAAACCATGGATTAACAGTGCTTGAAGTGGGTTAGCTGGAAGAAATCAATGAGGGCACGTGATCATCAGAGCTAGCATATGAGAACGAATGGCAGGCTCAAACAATTTCTAGCAGTACGCGAACATGCAGGTCACAGGCTTGGCAATATACTCAGAGCCGTTAAGTGTAATAAACACTGGGCCCTACTGTTGTCATTGGAGTTTGTTTGCGAGACCTTCGCCTTTTGGTCTAGGGTGTTGTGGTGGGACGAGAACAGCACCGGTGGTGTCATAATAAACTGCCAGGAACAAAACTATGGTTTGTTTGCAGCACACACGGAAACCACGAACGAGCATCTCGGTAGTAAGGAATACATCAAAAAGGAAGAATGAAAAGGCGGTGGCCTCGTTTCGCTTATCCGCACTGAGGTGTGCACCGGACAAAGTGACTATTTATGAAAGTACGCGATGGGCGGTGGAGGATAAGATCGAAGTTTGGGTAGAATAACGTGGGCGGAAGCTTGTAAGGTGTCGAGAATGTGATAAGTTGTAACACCGATGGGTTGTACAGTTTGTCTAAGATACGATCAGAGTGTTGTGCATGTGCATTGTGTAAGAGCATCACAATGAAGACGTGTGGTAGCATAAGGCGACGGGATAGCTGCGTGGCACGACGAAGGTGGCACATTGTATCGCCGAGAGAAAATGTGCCTTCCAACAGATAACAATAAGTGGAGGCCTAAATCATCCCCGGACGCGATGGACAGTGTCGCAGTAACTGAATAGTCTGGCTACTTCAATGAATAAGATTAACAAATACACAGTGTCGCGAAGACAAGGAGAGGACCATGAAAAGCGAGAGGGCGCTCACCACCACTGGAGAAATGCGCTCAAGATTGGTGCCAACAGAGCGAGCGCGACGAATAGGAGCAGAATACCAGCTGCTAGGAAATCACTAGTCCATGGTTGGATGCCAAGCCAGTGTTGAATCGACTGCCATTCTGGGTGCTTGTAGACGGTGAAAATGAGGTCTGGAGATCCATGAAGACAAAGGCCACTGGCAAATGAGACCACAATCCAGATAGCTAGATGGCTGAGAATCGGTGGGATCTCGTCAGCGGCGTACTTCACGAGCTAGATAAAGGAGAAGAAAAAACAAAGAATGGATGGTGATTTCGTGAAGTTACTAAGAGGTTGAACGTCATTCGGTAGAGCATGGTACAGCAAAGTACCTGTGGTTGCGGTAGCGTCGGGGAATCGGGTGCACTAGGAGAATCAGTGGAATGGTTGCGTTCAGGTGAATGCTTTCGTTTTCGAACTAGTTGATCTGGATCGGGGTTAGTAGTACTAATACCACTCTCGGATAATTGATCCGTCTCTTGCTTAGGTTCCGCGGGATTCGGTTCAGAGTCGGGAATCCACCAAAAGCTAATGACCTGCAACGCAAGAAAAGATGGAGTGGGCGAAAGGAGACAAACAGTTTCTCAAGTAGAGAGAACGTAGCGAAAGTTAACGCGCTTTTGGAAAGAAGCAGGCGCATGGAGAATGAGCACAGTATATTATAAAGACAATTAATACAAACCCAAAACCATTTGAAAGAACAGTCCATAAGAGAATGAGGAGGATTAATCGGGAACAATGTTAGGAAGAAGTGGTTCGCTGATGAAGCAAAGGAGAAGACGCAAATCAGACAGATTTGCGGTAGAAAATTACATTAAAAGGACGCAAACAGAAACTAAACGTTCTGGTAGCAATAAAGCAGGAAAATATGAATGCATTCATATAGCGGTCAATGATAAGAGCGGCAACAACAGTTGCCTAGTAACCGCTAGGTGTTGTATAGCGTTTGGCACGCATGGGATATGCGGACGATAGACAAAATTCCCAAAGGAGTGTTTGTGTGAAATGTACCAAGGAATGAGATAGAGGCCCACGCAAACGCAAAACATATGGAGATGGTAGATGAAGTAGCGGAAAACACTTTTTGGGAAGGGTCGCGTAGGTCGAAGTAAAAGGGAAGCTCCGTAATGGAAATCAAGGCCTCAGTGGGTGCAGAGTAAACGCCAAGAAGCAAAACTGAACGCTGAAGAAATATGTGACGGAGAGGGTGAACAAATGGTGCCGTCAATCTAACACCGCTTGGAGTTACGTAGCAGCAGGCTCTGGAGACGCAAAACGGAAGCTATCTCCTTGTCGCGACTACGTAGCTTATTGAATCCGATGGCCCCGCCCGTTTAGTGCCACCACGCACAGCAACCACAGCAGAGCTGCCTCTGCTGCGAGTTATGTGGTAAAGAGATTCAATTGGCAGCAAAAATGAGGCGAAGTTGTGCCGACAGTGCAGTTTGAACAGGAATGGAATAAAGTCTAAGGTGCGAACCGATACATACTGAGGGAAGCAGGGCGATAGTGTCCTCTTTGTGAGAAGCAGTGATAAGAACATGTACACTTTTTGCGTAGAATCATCGCAGGCAGACAGCTACCACACATATCCAGGAAAGCGCTAGACGGGTGTTTCGTCTTATTGGGACTCGTCAGTAGTGCGCATCCGCAGAATCCTGCCGGATTCGAACCAACGACCTTACTCTTGCGAGTCAGCGACTTATGTCACTGAGCCGTTGGGCGACGGCAGCGGACAGCCATGACTGATATCTAACTGCGATATAGCGCAGTTCATTATCCACTGTTTTGCATGTTATGAATGTGCAGATGACAGGGCTGCCCCCTAATACTTACAAATAATCAGTAGTCGCCTTAGCAGCTTACTTGCCATTTAGATTGGCGGCAGCTTGCAAAAGAAGTCGTTGCTCTGGGGGCCAGCCCTGTCCTCTGCACATTCATAACATGCAATACAGTAGAGGATGAGCCGCGCTATATCGCAGTTAGATATCAGTCATGACGGTCCGCTGCCGTCGCCCATGGCGCAGTGACATAAGTCGCTGACTCGCAAGAGTAAGGTCGTTGGTTCGAATCCGGCAGAATTCGGTGGGTGCGAGCTACTGACGAGTCCCAATAGGAAGAAACGGTCGTCTAGCGTTTTCCTGGATGTGTGGTACCCGTCTGCCTGTGTCCAACTGTGACGAATCTACACAAAAAGCTAATAAACCCCCCTACTAGTTACACATATACACTTGCCAAAAGAGTGTCTTGGAAAACCAACATTAGAGCTTCGACGAGTAGGCCACATTATCGCATGTAGGTAAAGCATTACCAATGGACTACTTAGGTACCGACATATTCTGAATGCGTGGGCACCCGCCAGTAACATGGACCATGGTGAATATACACAAATATCTTATGGCCATTTTACAACCTCTTTGAATGATTGGTGGCTATTGTTTGAGGCGCGCTTATTGCTAAGGCCATGAGTTTTGCAGTCAGAAAGCATTGTCACACTACGTGTTCGACGACTTCATTGCGTGATATCGTGTCGGGCCAACAAAGTTTATTCAAATGTGATGGATGGCTAAGGCACAGATATCAAGAACGCTCATAGTTTCATCCAGTGAAACTGTGAAGTGCGGATGGAGTGCAAATGTCAGCACCCACTTTATTAGAAGGGGAATAGCTAGTGGAACTGTCGGCGTTGTTAAGTAGAGCATTGTTAGTAAAACTGGTAAATGTGTAGGTAATACCAGGTCAAGTACACAGATGCAGTAACCATACAATGTAGCAGCCCGAGCGATAGAGCATTTCCTCGACGAAAATGAAACGCGATCAAGCAAATGAGCGATAGTAACCTTCGTACGCAATGTAAACGTCATTAAAGTGAGCATGCTATACAAATGGTTCGAACCCTAGGGACACCAGCTGTCCGCATCAGCGAAGGTCCCAGCGAAGACCTGGAGAGAGAAAACTGGCAGATGTGCCACGGTAGGCCTACCCGGGTGTGGGATGGTGAATCACCTTGAGAATATCCGATCAAATTTCAGATAGCCAAAAAATACTTCAGGCGCGTGGGAAGATGGTAACAGCCATGACTCACAGCACCTCGGTAATAACAACGACAACAGTTTAAATAAAAATGATGAGAAAGGTTAAAACAAATCAGAAGCAAATCGAGATGGAAAAGTAACCTATGATGGTTCCATAGCACGACCAACAGTAAGATATGAAAAAGCGAATGCAAAGGGTGTCACTGAGCTCGTGACCGCCAGTGATGTGGCGGATCCCGATGCATCCGTCCAGAAACTAGTCAGATTCTTTATGCATTTTAAAGATTGTGTATCGGTTGGTCACCGTGCACAGATTGGAAACAGTACTTGACGGTTCATAAGCAACAGAAAACCGAGTGAGTTGTTACAAGGCTTGTCACCAAACACCAACTCGCAACATCAGTGCTACTTAACTGGTGCTCCAACCAGAAATGTGTGACACCTGAGATCAAGAACGGATAGTAGATGCCCTCGATGCATGTTTGCCGTGTCATCTCAGTATAGAAATTCGGTTCTGTAAAGCCGAAAAAATATTAGCGAAACACGTGGTTACCATATTTATGTCCTGACTGTCACAAACGATACAGCTACGTGGACGGAGAAGCTGATCCACCGGTTCGAGTGGTTGCACGGTTATAAGGAGAACTAGCGGTGTGCAAACCAAGTCTTGCAATGGCATTCTGCGACTATAAAGCGCAAAACGCAAAAGCGCATAACTGTCACTGTGTTTTCATCCAAATAACCACACAGTAGTTGGTAGCTTAGAAATCATACAATTTCTGCCTACTTAAACGATCACTAAGCAACCAGTAGCGTGCATCGCATATTGAAGTTCAGACGGACTGCAACTGACCCTCATGGCTCAAATGCATAGGCTGTTGGCTAGTGGTGCAAGCCACTAGTGGTTAAGGTTTCGGTTCTTGATGGAGCCGGAGGCTGCGCACCAATGACAGACAACTAGTGCTCTCCTGCATTGGTGGTCAGAACGACTGGCTTGTGAACAGCTGGGATGAATCAGTAAAACATGGAAGTCGTTATGCGTTTCCATGTGAGTTAGCCGTGAACCCCTTTCTGGCCAGCGTCTAAGAAAAGGTCCGAAAAGCATCATACTCTGTAAAAAGCGAATTCAAAAAATGTAATTAGCTTTAATGAACGTTTCTAAATAAATTTCGAAATGCTTTTAACCTTTGTCTCCATGAGCATGTGGAGGCAGATATTATAACCATTGAAGAATTTATTTCCCACCGTGTCTACCGCCAATGTGCCCGTCGAAAGTGCAGCGTTAATCATGCAACTGAACGCGAAACACTACGCACACTTGCTTAACCTTATGGTGTAGACCAACACACCGGAGTCGCAAACATTCAATTATACCGATTAACATCTACTTTTCACCTAGATGTCCAACTTCTGAGGCATGAAAAAGTCCTCAGTAATACGCCGGCACTTGTTAATGACGATTCGCAGGCAAGCAACCATCAACAGTCTGGTACCGAAGTTGCTCGTATTTACGTAGGCTAGAACCGGTAACCGATCGCCCACCAGTCAACACTTGAAAGGCGGGAAAACGTTTGGAAAATTCTACGATATCGATCGTCGAACAGCGAGCATATCCTTCGGATTATTTTAGATGATTTGAATGGAAATTATATCATCCTTCCTCCTAGCTTCGACAGTCCTGCACCTAGTAATCGACAGTAATCGAATTCTGTTTTCTGTACAAAATAAAGCACCGCTAAACAGATAAACAAAACAGGAAGCTTTAAGCGAACAATTGTTTTCAATTAATTCTTCTTCAGGCTCATCCAATAATATACATGAGGGTAAGGTCTGTTGCAATCGTCAGTATAACAAAGGAATAATTGATCAGAAAATTTAACTTGTGATCATGGTGGCAGTCATCTGATCACATGACTGAAGTCAGGTGAAGTTGAGGAGTACCATCACTTCCTTCCCGTCTGGTGGTGGGCCACTGAAGTTGTAGTGTTTATATCATCTTCTGGACACACAAGTCCGGGTTTGTCAGGCGTATGCATACTGCCTCAGCAGTGGTAAGTAGGCTTGCTCTTACATGATGGTTATGCCTTGGTGGTATTCTGTAGAGAATTTGATAGGAAGTTTGTTTGTTTATCTGGTGGCCTGTGTTGATTAAATGGCTCGTAATCGCGCTGTAGTTTGCCCTATTCTCGCGATTGTAGAGCTAATCTGGGAGGTGTTCCTTAATTCTCTTACCTAAATGCCTAGTCGTCCGTCCAATGTACCTGGCCCCGCAGGGGCAGGTGAACCGGTAGATTAACATCGATTGGAGATGATCAGGCACTCGGTCATTGAATCTCGGAACTAGTAAAGGTCTGCTCGTGAAAACCACATTCAGCTGAGCCGCATTAAAGGTCTTATTGCAGCTTCGCTGTAGTCGACGCGTGCATGTCTCAGCCGCACTATTTCCTTTGAATGAAAGAGTCAGGTAAAGCTGTTTCTTTTCAACGGTTTGTTTTGATACT